TATTATACAAAGAGACGCGTGTTCTGTTAAGCAATACCATCCTACATCCAAAACAAATGTATGATAAATATTTGCCAGGCAAATTGTTTCAAAATCCAAATGGTCCATTTTTCCCTTAATTGGCATTATACGTCTACAAACCAGATATTTCAAAATTGAGATCAGCCATCTGCGTTGACTCCCTCTTAGCCTAAACTGGAGCTAGGTCACACACACAAAAAAAAGTGGATCCTACCCTGCTCCTTTATAATGTAAACTGAGAACTGTGAGACAGAAGTTTATTTATGGTTGCACATTAAGTTTTGAAAACTGTCACTCATGTAAAACATAACCAAAATATTCCAGAAAACAGTACCTTTCTGTGTTAATATTTACATCAAATGGAGGTTTGCGTTGACAATAAGAGCCGAATTTACTCTGTAATTTGCCGATCATTCCTCCGTACCTTTCATTAGATTAGGCTGCACTGCACATTTCCTACTACAACAAAATACCAACAAAAGAGTGAGTGAATTATTTGGGGAGTTTGATATAATCAGGAAAAATAAGGGATTATAAATAAAGGAACAGGGCATTTGGGTCTTCAAACCTGCCTCACTGTTTTATTAAATCATGGTAGTTCTCCATATGTTTAAATTGCATTTCACTATTCACTCTATGGGGTTTTTCATAGTTAATAAGAAGAAATTATTTCCATTCGTCAGTGAATCAGTGACTAGAGGGCATCAATTTAAGATGGTTAGTAAACAAGCAAATGGGGAAGTTAGGAGAATATTTTTCACTCACAGAGTAGTTTGAATACAGAATGCCCTGCCGGGAGCGATATTAAGGCAGAATCCAACTTAGCTTTCAAAAGGAACTAGATAAAATACCAAAAAAGGAGCAAACTACAGGGGTATGGGGAAAGGGTAGGTAAATGGGACTGAAAGAATTGCTCTTAAAAGAGTACAGACACGGTGGGCTGAATGGCCTTCTTCTGAGCTGTAAATTTCTATGATTCTAAAAATTTCCATGGGTTAAAAAAAAGCTTCATAGCAAATTCATTCTAACAGATTCAATGTGATCATGTTCCATCGTTAAGAAACATTGCAATTTCAGTCATTATCAATAATAAATAATCCTTGCACATGATTTAGTGCCTTATCACGTTGTTGAGATATCTCAGGAGCTCTTCCATCTTCCCTACCTGCTATAATCTACAGCCTATTAAATTATCATCTTGCATCTTGTAGTACCTTAAATAATTTGTTTTTAAAAACACATCCCGAGTGCAAACAGAAAGGATGTGGAAACCACTGTTGTCTTTTTATCTCCTTTCTTGGCATATTTACCCTTGTGTGTATACAGGAAATTCCATACTGAAATACAGGGGAAAAATATGGTCTACAGGAAGAGTCTGATCAAGATATAGAAGCACGGATGTAGTTTTTGTTTTGATAAACAATCCAAGGAGGTCTACAAAATAAACAGAAACAGCACTAGTCACAGCACATTATAGGCATATGTAAGATTTAGATCAGCCTGGCTCAGTTGGTAGCACTTTTGTCTCCGAGTCAGAAGGTTGTAGGTTCAAGTTCCACGTTGGGACTTTGAATTCATAACTAGGTTGATCCTCCAGTTCAGGCTGGGGGTGTGTAGAATTATTAGAGATGCTATTCGTTCTGATCACCTTGTTAACAATGGTTTTTGCCTACCTGTTCATGACATTAAAAATCACAGTGTATGCTACTCCAAGAAGCTAACCATCCTAATCCTCTTTCCCCAAACCCTCCAATAGCTTCCTCTGTACGTGTGTGTCCAGTTATTTGTTATGTGCGCCATTTGACTGCTCCAATAACCATCCCTGGAAAATCACTCCATAACCTAATAACCCTCCAGCAGAAGTTCTTTGAACATCTTCTTTTACACTCCTAGTCATAATCTTGAATTCATGTCCACTTGATTTGAACAGATTGTCACCATTTATTCTCTCAAATCTTTTCATTATATCTTTTAGCATATTATCCCTCGACCTTCTTCCCAACAGGGAAAGTCCACACTTCTATCCTCTTCTCATAGCTATATCATTTCTATCTACGGTATCCTCATGAACCTATGACACACATGCTCCATGGCTCCAATATACTTTGCATAATGTGGCACCCAAAACTCCACACAATGCTATATTCAAGCTATAGTCTAAACAATAATCATCAATAGAATTTAATGATAATCTTTGCATTTGATATAGCGCCTTATCACATCATTGAGCTTGTAAAGTGAATTGACTGTATTTTGTGGGTGAAAAGCAGCAGCTAGTTGCGCACAGCATGGTCCCGTAAACAACCTTGGAGTGAGTGACTAATTTTATTTGGGAGATTGTTGGTCAGGACACCAGGAGGAACTTCCTTCTCTTTTCTCATAGTGCCATGGGATTTTTAACACCCAGCTGAACAGGCAGGTTTAATATCCCATCCGAAGGACGGCACCTCAGACAATTTAACACACCTCCAGCACTGCACTGGAGTGCCATCTTAAACGTTATGATTCCAAGTCTTGACGTGGGGCTTGAATCCAACCATCTGACTCCGAGGCAAGAGCGCAATCATTGCGCGAGGCTGATAATTAAGGTACAAGTTGTGAGTGACTTGCCCCAGTGATTGGGGTTTGGAGCTCTTCAGTCTTATCTGGGTGTAGGAGTTGAGGTTATTAAATCACCATTTGGGAATGATACTAAATTAGGAGGTGTTAAGTGACTTAAGAGTGCAGCAAGCTACCGGCAGATATTGACAGGTTAGCAGGTCGAGCAGATTTCAGACCAAAAATGAAATTGATCCAAATTTATCCACGGAAGTATCAAAATTGCATCATATAATGAATTGCATTAAACGATACGGCATTGAAAGAGGTCTTTCAACCCAAGGAGTTCATGCTTGCGATTAAATGCACCACTTTCACTTTGCTACAATATCATATTATGAAGCTTTTGCCATCCATAAGCATCAAAGCCATAATTTTCAAATTATCTGACCCTCTAACCTGATGCAGCACAACATGCATCTGTGTCAATTCCTGAGCACACTTCATAAGAACATAAGAAATAGGAGGAATAGGCCATTTGGCCCCTCGAACCTGCCCCGCCATTTAATAAGATTGTGGCTGATCTTCTAACCTAATTCCATTTACCTGCCCTATCCCCATATCCTTTAATTTTTTAAGAAATCTATCAATTTCAGTCTTGAATATGTTCAATGACTGAGCATCCACAGCCTTCTGGGGTAGAGAATTCCATAAATTCACTGCCCTCTGAGTGAAGAAATGTTTTCTCAAATCAGTTCTGAAGAGCTGACCTTTAATCCTGAGAATATGACCCCTAGTTTTAGATTCTCCAACCAGGGGAAACAGTGCACTATGTACCCTGTCAAAACCCTTAAAAATCTTATAGGTTTCTATAAGATCACCAAGGCCCTATACAATTGCAGCAAGACTTCCCTACTCTTGAACTCTAACCCCTTTGCAGTAAACATTACCATGCTATTAGCCTTCCTAGTTGCTTGCTGTACCTGCAGACTAACTTTCTGTGATTGGTGTACAAGGACACCTAAATCCCTCTGAATACTAACACTATCGAGTCTCTCCCCCTCTAGAAAATATCTGCTTTTCTATTTTTTATACTAAATGAATTGCATTAACCTTTATTAGAAAAGCAGATATTTTACAATACTGTACCAGATTGCCCCATCCAAAATAATAAATTAAAGTACATTTTAATGTTACAAGAAATATTCATGTAGTCAATTCTGCAGTATTATTTGGGTTATTGCACCCCAAGAGATGCCTGGAAATTTGCCTCCCAAATCAGACAAGTGGTTCAGTTGGGAACCCCAAGATTATTTTAGCCTTGTACAGTATTTGTTTTCAAGTAGACTGGTTAGAGATGCTTTGATTAGGATCCTTCCATTCCATCAGTAAGGTGCATGTAACACCAAGTAAAAGGTGTAGTGTGGGTCAAAGGGCATTACCAGATACAAGTTTTTTTTCTTTTGTAAACCATTCACTATAATTTAAAATCAGGAATGGTGTAAAGCTTATGGATAAATATTAATAATAATGTAGACAATGTCAAAAGCTAAGTAATGCAGGTTCAAATAACACGTTTCCCAAGGTTTCAAAGTGCCACAAAGGGAAGAGTGAATGCAGTACAGGGTGCTCACACATGCCATATCACTGGCACAAGCAGTACCATCTGCCTATTCAGTGGACATTAAAGAACCCATTGCACTATTTCATAAGAGAAGGGAGTTTCTCTCTCCCGGTGTCCTGGCCAACAATCCCCCAAATAAATAAAATTGGTCACTCACTCCATGCCTGTTTGTGGGACATGCTGTGTGGAACTCGCTGCTGAGTTTCACCTACAAAATGTAGTCATTACACTTTACATTGTATCCTGTGAAGCGCTTTGAGACATATGAATGAAATGGTAAAGCGCCATATAAAATGCAAGGATTATAATTACAAAGTTAGACAGGCAGAGGGCAAAGACAGTGAAGTTACCTAATACCATGTGAGAAGACAAATAGTTTTGTTTGGAATGAGGGTGGGTAGGCGGAACGGTAAAAGGTCCACACGGTTTGAAAGGGAGAGAAACCTGGAGGTAAAATTCGGATATTCAAATGTGATTGTTAGGTAATATTCAACGGCTATGGTGGACTACACGTGAGGATTACATGCATAGTGATAATTCAGCATTGTGATTGGCCCCAAAACTCCTGGCAGTCACATCCATGTTTCCACGAGCGAGGGCTTTCACCGCTTCTTCATAGTTAACAATGTTGCACAAATTGCCACAAGGCACCTTTTCTTTAATATAAAGGAGTTTCTTTTGAACATGTGCTTGTTCTATTTATAGGTGCACAGATTGGCCTTTGTACCAGTCAAACGTGTGCTTTAATAATTATTATATGCTCAGTGGTTGTAAAGGAGCAAAGGTAAACAGATGTAGAAGAAATGGAAGCACTCAGTTAAATGTGCAATTCACAATTTATTTACTGAAGAGAAGATTAGGACAAAACATCAAACCAAATACAATACAATCAAAACACCAGAGGCAGTAAAACCCACCATGCAATCTCCTCCTTTCCCCTTCCATTTTAGTTTGAAACAAAGACAAGTAGTCCTCCTTAACATAGCACCAACTCAGCACCATCTACGGAGTGAATATAAATTCACTCCCTTTTTACTTTGTGAAATTTTTTGTCAAATTAACACTAGGCAGGTCCGCTGCAGCTTTTTCCCCCCCCAATGAAAACTGAACCATCCTCTTTCTGTGTTTTTAAATTGGCATAAGCTCTCCTGAAATGCAGGCAATAGCATCCATAAGTCAAATAGGTCAAGTAGCTGTACGTACATGCAACATACTATAAAAGCACAAATTCAAGTAACAATTACGTACTACAAGAGTCCACATATACCTACCAACATGACCATTTCACAGAACTGGTACAGGCAGTAATCAAACAACTGAGGTACTGGAGACAACACAAGAAATAAAGGATGCTGGATAAGAGGTTCATAAGATATAGCAATTTGAAAGCAGAGGAAAAGCAATTTGACAAGCTAAAATTAAAAAAAATACATTCTACAAACCTACAGCTATTCGGGGTTTGAAATACACAATGAATGCACAAGATTCATCTGTGCTGTGTTTTTAAACCAAAATAGGCCCATAATGTGCTTGTACTGGATATAATGCTTTGTAAAAAGGTCAGTTGTACTTGATTTTCACAGTATTTTCCATCATGTACAGTATTAGTAATGTACTATGGACTGTCAAGAGTACTCTAGTCCATTTATTTAAAAGAAAACTTGGTAATGTATCCTTGGCACACAATTCAGTTGCATCTAACCACATGATGATGCATTCATGACCACAAAACAAAATGGTAACTTAGCAACTAAAATCATGTCTAGTGTTTTAATGCTTGTAATTTTACCACCTTGGGCTCAATGAGGCAGGGCAACTCCATTGTAACTGGGCCTTCCCAGACATGATGCGCTCACTCAATACGGTGCCTCATAGAAGCAGAGTCTCACTGCAAAATAATAGATCCGACAAATTTACTGCTTGATGAATTCACTGAACTTCTGATCCACAAGGGTGGACCAGCAATTCATTAAAATCTTATAGTATATTGTTCATAGGACACTGAACCCATGACCACAATTACTCACACACAACCCTACTTGAGGTTCTCAGCAGTGTGGATGCTTTAAACTTATGAAAAGCTTCAACCAGTTGTTACTGGACCAGCTTGGCAAACAGTTCATGATTTAAAGCAGCATTGCCACTGATCTTAAAGGGAGAGTTTATTTATTCTCCAGCAGATAGAAAGGAGACAAAATATTCTAAAGTTGTTTTCAAAGAATACTCTGACGCTCATAAATAAGAAGGCTGTAAGCAGACATGACTGTCCATTACAGTAATATAATGCTATCAAACTGAACGCATTAGGTATTCATTCAATACACCCACATTTGAATTGCCTCAAGCGGGCTAGTGAAGTGTCACGAACTAGACACTTCCAATTTCTTGACAAGCCTATATTCTTCAGGGGGTCGTGCAGTGGCAGATAAGGACCTGATTTTCTGGAGACATTTGATTAGTAGCACACTGTGGAGCCCAAGATGGTTATTATCTCAGCAAACTTAAGAGATTTTGGGGAGGTACAGGGAAGAGAAAGAATGAAGAAGGGGCAAGAAAAGCAGTGTAAAAGGGAAGACTTTCTTTATCTCACCCCTTCCTACAGAAACTAGATTTCAAAACCAGAAAAGTAATCTGAATTTTAAAATAAAATATTTACTACCAAAAGCATGAGATTACTTTGACAAGGCAGGGCCAGTTTTATTTGCACTAGTACAGCGGTTACTATAAACTGTGGTATTTCAAACCCTGAATATCCTCCAAAAGAGACTTCACCAAACCAGTGGAGTTACGTATAAGTGACATTTCAATAGCTTCCTGCCAACCTGCAACAAAGTATTGTACACTCAACGAATAACAGTTATTCCTACTTGGGGAACTAAGCATTAAAATTGTCTTTTGTTTCTCTGACAAGAATATTAAGCAGTTTACTCAGGAAAAAAANGAGGATGAATTACATAAGATAAGATAATGAAAATAGCTACATATAAACACGAGCAGAACTTTTCCTTATAGCACCCGCATTTTATATCAGTCGGTCATGTGCACCTAGAATTTTTTTTAAATGAATCACATTGAAGTAAAACATCAGGAAACAATTATAAAGAGACTCTTACAGGATTGTACATTCCCTGAATAATGAGAGAAGGAAAATAATCTAACAGTGCGATGCCAATGTGTTACATCGTGTAGAGGCTAATTACGTTTCTATTTAATTGTGATTTGCAACCATTATAAAATGGAGTGATGAACTGCAGTGACTAACACATGCAGTATTCAGCGCTCTCCTTGGCTCCATGAGATGAGAAGCTGCAACATTTTATACTGCCTTTTCCTCCAAATCAATCTAACTTGATAGCAGAACCCGCTAATTTTTTTGTGCTACATGTTAACCCTTAGAAGTCCCACTTTGCTAGTCATTTTAAAATCATGAAACATCTGTCCGACTTTTGCTACCAAGCTAGGTCGATTCAAGGTACCATTAGTCAGATCAGGAAGGACTCCTTCATGCGGTGGGTACCGGGTGTTGTACCTTCTAGATGACGCCCATCCTGCGGGTGAGCTCAATTGAAAAATGGGTCCAACTCAACATCCATATTCACGTCAGGCACCAGCTGATCCGCAGCCTCTTTTTCGCTAGCACCATATCCGGAACTAGAAGCTGTGAAATCAGAGGCAAACCAAGGATGGTCCAAGATTTCCCGGGATGTCAGCCTCTCCGAAGGCTCACGTCGCAAGATGCTACGGATAAGGCATTTTGCCCGTGGGGAAAGAGTTTCTGGAATGCTAAATTGGCCACGTCGAATCTTGCTAAAGAGTGAACTGGGTTCTACGTCATGGAAGGGATACCGTCCCACGAGCATTGTGTAGAGCATCACACCTAGACTCCAAACGTCAGCTGCCTTACCAGAGTAGCTGCCATTGGTGTTAAGGATTTCAGGGCTCACATATGCTGGACAACCATGCTTGTCCGAAAGAGAGTCATCTTCACCGGTCAAGATATAAGCATCCTCCAAGCTTTCCAACTTCACGTGTGTCCTGTAACAGAGGGAGGGAGAGAAAAGGAAATCACATAAGAAATTGAGAATAAAGAACATTTGTCAGCATACCGAGATGTTAACTTAACATGTGCAAAATAACCAATTAATCTTTAGTCAACATGTCTGTGCTTTTAAAACAACTATATTTGTCACCGACAGTATATCCACTATTGTCTCCCAGTGTCAATATTACATCTCTATTAATTTGTTATCCAATGTTGATCTTAAATTACATTTAGAAAAAAANCAGCTCATTATGAAGTCACACAACTTGTGATATTTATATGGTTAGTTGAAGATTACCATCCCAAAAGCAGATCAAACTAGCTACCATACTAAAAAGTCTCCACAAGCATGCATTTTAAAAAGTTATTAGAAAAAATAATCTGGCCATCTGGGAACAATGTGCCTTTAATTCTCGACATCAATTTCCAAACAGACAACATTTGAGAACCCCACCAAATTAATGGGTACTTTCCCAGACTGGAAAGTAGTCTTTCACTTTCTTAAAAATATTTTAAAAATTGCAACATTTTCAACGTATTGATCAAAGTCTGAAAAGACTAAAGCTGCCTCATATTGATGACAATGGAAATCAAGCACTCATTTGAGACCTGGCATTATAAATAGAGTACACCCTAGGAACTGTGGAATACTATTTTTATTCCCACAGCGAAACCAAATACATTGACTGAGTCATATACAACATACTTTTTCCTCACTCACATTAGACACTCCACAGCCATCACTATTTCCAGCAAAGCAACCGCATCTTGACTCAGAAAGACTCCCATTAGTCAATTATTGTTTATTTTATAAAAATGGCGACCCATTTCCGAGTGATCTGCTTGACTTTATGTACCAAATCTTTGCAAATTCTTTGCTGGGATGTAGCCAGCTTGTTGACACAGGTTTATTGCGTGTTGTACTATTTTTAAAAAGCACGATAATTAGTATACTTTTATTTTGTTCATAATCTCCGAGTCCCTAGGATGGTATTGGAATAAAGACGGGAGGAAATGTGGAACTGCTGCATATACAGTCCAGGATCGGTGAGTCATTCAGTACTGAAAGGAGAGGGTTGGAGGTAACCATAAGCATTCAATCATGTTCTTGCTAAAGGCAATACCTATTTTTCTAACAACCTAATTGTTTGATGAATCTAGCCATGCAAACAAAACAAGCTGTTTGGGAACAAATTTCAAAAGTAATCTACTTTGAACAAGGGAGACTCCCACATCAATAACCAGTTCCTTTCAACTGCAAGGAGTACTATAGGTACACACGCTATTCTTTCATCAACCGGCTCAGCACCAGCATTTGCAGCTCTAAAAATAACCACACAATTTGGGATGTGTAAACTCAACAGGGTTTTCATTATTGTTACAATTAGTAAAAACTTAGTACTCATTCAACACATGTACACCAATGGTATCTTCAATAATTCTGGCTCAGATTTAAAATGTTTTTCTATGTTTCCCCTCTCGCACCCCCCTCCCCCATTAAGTTGCATATTTTGCAGATCTAGGAAGTCATATCACTTATGTGCATTGAACAATGCCACACTAGAGACAGAACCAGTCGAGAAGAGCACTATACATACAGCAGCACACAGGTGCCAGTAGTAGTACAGCATCCATGTCAAGCACTCTCATCTACATGTAAAACTAATGTGCAAGAATTTTACCACCTGTTGGTCAGACTGCTGGATGGACAACTTGACCTGTAACCTTATGGTTTACAGTGGAAGTGTTGAAAATAGGAAGTGGGATCTATCAAAAGCAAAAATACCTATACCCAAACATTCATGCACTCCTTGTGAATGAAGCAAATTAGGGTGAAGTAGGATTCATATAATTTAAGTGCCTTGGATGTCTTCATATGATAACCCACTAGAACATTGGTGGCCAATTTGTTTGGTCAGCCAACAAAATAAATGTTCTTGATTGAATATTTCTTGATTTATGCCATAAAATGAAGGAATACTCAATCAAGAAAAACCTGGAAACACTACCGATCAGACATGGACTTACGTAGACTAGTGTGAATGTTTGGGGGAAGGCTGCTTCTTAACGGCCCCATAGGCCATGGGTTGGCCACCACTGTACTTAATTGAACACATTTTGTTCACTTCAACAAGGTAGTGAAATGGTAAACTTCAAATATAAACAAAATTTCTGCGACATCATTACTCTCCTTTCAAACATTTTAGACAAACGGCTTCCCAGGATTTATACTTCTGAAGGTGCATTCAGTTCCTTCCTCCAATAAGTACTAGTTCATTTTCTATTCTTTCTTGAACTCTGTTCCCTGGCTGAGACAAGTACATGAAGGTTTATGCCTGAGGCAAGAAATATTTTACCCACTTTCCATTTCCAAAGCAAAACGATTCCAAGGTAATTAATTATACAGAGAGGTTGCCAGGTTTTGTGTCTTAACCACAGACCACTAATTACCTCAAAGCAATTCCCAGCATTCCACGCTACACTGTTTCATTCATACGAATGAACATTTTCATTTCACACAGTCCAATATCCAGAATTTGCCAATACACTCCAATCTCAAGGCAACATTTAATCATATTCAATAAAAGCTCAGCACATTTAACAAGTGCTCTTTGCACATAAGGGAGGAGAGAATTGGTAGAAGATCAAGTGAGTATATAAACACCAGGTAGACCCGGATTAGGAACTGGATGGCTTCAGTGTTGCATGTGCCAATTCTACACATGTAATCCTAGTCATGTAACCCAGTCCCAACTATCTGTAGACATGTAGTTCAGACATATCTGTAGCTTACTTGTACAATCCAAAACAATAGGTTTTCTTGTCCAGATTTCCAAAAATACTGAGCAAAAATACACCAAGTCTGCACAAAAGTCCTTTAAATTTGATGAACAAACTAGTGAGGGGGAAAGTGAAATCTAGTAACAAATAGTTTATTCTCAACCTCTTATCGCTCTGATTGAAGCTTCCCATGCTCATTTGTGCAGTTTTCCCTCATTTAATTAACACAAAAGTGATGTAAGGTGCCCCAATTTTAGAAAGGAATTACATCGTTAATTCAATCAACCCACGTGTCTCTAAAAGTTTAAAAATTAGGCCAAGCTGTATCCTCTCAATGACTTCTAGAGCAAGAAAAACTTGCAACAGTTCAACCAAATCTCTTCAGATATTCATTACTTAATAAGGAGTCTTAACATCACCACTGGCGATTGGGGTATTACTGCGGCATATCTAGATATACAAATACTGACCTTTTAGTTGAGTGGCTTAACTCAATGCAGTAATTTGAATACAACGTATCATGCTTATACTAAGTAACCAGGCAATAAGCAAGTCCCTCATCATTCACACAAAATGTCCCCACAATTCGATTAAAATAGATGGATCACAGAAATATCAAACCAAATGTTTTGAACAAGTGAGCTTCTGGCCCTCATATGACTCAATTGGTAAATGCACTTGTAGAGCTGGTCAACCAACCTCAGCTGGAGGTCTACTTCAGTATCTGCTTTCAGTCATCTTCCCTCCCCCAGCTTGGGTGCCCAGGCAGCTGAGTAAAGAGCTTTGAGGTGTCCTTGAGACGTCATTTGCTATATAAATACATTGTCTTATCCCTGAAGTGCACTGACAGTTGCCGGAAGCAGATGTATATGGAGAATGGGAAAGAAGAGAAAGTTGACTGGAATGACTCCTATGGTTGAACAGACATTCAAGTTGAATATTTAGAACAGCAATCTGCATGAAGGCGAGCGTCATCAGCAGCCATACCCCAATCTCTCACCACTTTCAAGAGGCTAACTCCCAACAGGATAGAGATGCACAACTACTATAAAGTTACACTTTCTTACTGATATTTTAATACAAACCTAACTTGTTGATAACAATAGATTTACTGGTAATGCTAAAAACTACTGCAGCCATCATCTGCTTGTGCTAATTTACAGGAGATAACAAAAATGACTCACCTATTTACCTAAAGACTGTGTGAAGCTAATTCTCAAATTTCTGGGCTACCCCAATGATTTTGTTTAACCTGTGATTAGCTCAGCTAATAGATATTCCAATGGCTAACACCAATGACACAAAAAGAATGAAAATTGCAAAGCACAAAATGAAAACACTGCACATGCAAATTTTAGGTGGGAGTAAATTATTCGACCAGTAAATAGTCAAGATTTGCTTCTAGTTATTTGCATACCCCTTGGCCGGATGCTTTACACCTACGTAAACTGTGCATTTGATTTAAAAAAAACAATAAGGTAACTTATTTAAGGTCTTCCTTCCGCAAATAGCCTGGTTCCTCCCTTCTTTACAAATGCTGCCCAAAACCTGGGCTGGGGATTTGTTTTTAAAAAAAAGTGGGAACCTGTGGCAATGAAAAGCTGGGGGAAAAAAATGAGTGATCCTGGGCACATTACAAACCAAATAAACCTCCCTCAAGTGTTGCAAAACAGGACTACAGCTGTCGAGGTAGCTTTTAACCCCCCCCAAAAAGGGAAGCTATGATTGCCTGCGATTGCCTTCCCATTAGTGTGTGAATGAGACCGCAGAGCAGTGTGCAGGAAATGCACCCTGTGTCGCTATAGAGACTGGGGGGGGAACCTGCCACTAAAAACAGCTTCGTCCCTCCCTCCCTTTTTATCAGCAGTAGCATCGGGCGATCTGAACAACGTTTGCAACAGATGAAAGAGCAGCTTTGCAATCCGTCCGAGCTTGCACGTAGGCTCATTGCTGAGGGAACCACACACACACACACACAGAGAGAGAAAGAGAAAATGCATTCACTTAAAAATATCTCACTCGATGCAACGAAACTCATTTGCACCAAAATGCTGCAGATCCCTTTTTTTAAAAAAAAATTAAAATGAAAAAAAAACTATAGAAATTCAGTGCCATCGTTCTTTCCTTCCCATATTGTGTGTGTGTGTTTTTTTGGGGGGGTGTGGGGGGGGGGGGTTGTGGGAGGGAAATAACGTAAAAACAAACAAAAAAATTGATAACTCGTTTGAAAAATAAAATGCGCAAGAAACTGGCATCAGGCAAATGCCACTGGTGATTTGCAAAGGAAAACCTCAACAAACACCACACACAGAGAGAGAGAGAGAGGCTCTGCTCTGGGCACCGATTGAAAACAAAAGGCGTCTCTTCTGCAACAGCGATCGCAGCAAATGATCGGTGGGGTTCTTCGTGTTGAAGGCTTTGGCGCACCGTTAAAATGGGAGATTCGGTCCCCCCCCTCCCTCCCACCTGCAATATTCCGTTCTCTCAATGTGGTGTTGTTGTTGTTGTTGTTCCAGGGAGGGAGGGGGTCCCCTACAGCTTCAGATCGGTGATCCTCAGCCCTCTCCACGTGGCGAGAGAGACCGGGACACTGTGGATACAGTTGCCATCTGCATTCCTCACATTCCTATTAACATTCCCCTCCTTCATCACAGCGAACACTACACCTCCTCTCAACTCACTCACTCACTCAGTCACACTCACTCACTCACACACTCCACCGCCCCCCCAGACACGTTGTTACCATCCACACACACAACACAAACACACACACACACACACAGCTCCTGTTTAATAAGGTTTTGTCTCTGGTTTCCCTGACACTCTCTGCCTTTCTCCAGAGAACCATTTAAAAGGCCAGTCCTGGTGTTGCAATCTGCACAACCCACACCCACATTTCTGAAATAAATGGGGAGGGGTGGAGGGGGGGGAGTTGTCAAGAATATTCTGCAACCCGTTGCATTTCAGCAAAGAAAATATTACGGGTCTCCATTCTTATAAATTTTTTTTTGGGGGGGGGTTTGTGAATGGACCTGAGCAATGCTAACGTTTCCAACCATTCAAGTTGATCTGCTTTGCCGTCGCTCCCCAGTCAAGCAATCCATCCTCAAACTGGTTCAGCCACGACCATCTCGAAACCCCATCCCCCTCCCCACCCAGTCACAGGATAACGTTTCAATTCGTTTCAAGTGATCTCCCCCTTTTTTTTTTCTGGCAGCATTCGCTTCCCTGGCGTAACGATTGCGCATTTTATTTATTCCCAGCGTTTCGCAGCCATCTAAAGTTAGCTCGCTCGGGTTTGCATTCATTGCATTTGTGTGTGTGTGTGTGTGTTTTTTAAACCCCTCCCAGCGTTGCGTTGAACCTGCAGTAGTTTATAAAACAGGATGCAAAAGCGTGGGAGGAAGCTATCTGCACCAACAAGGCTATTAGCCCCGTCCGTGTCAATTACGTGTGTAATTGTGATGGCCATCGGTTCTGAATGCAAACTGCAGGTTGCAATGAAAGCTCTGCTGCTCTCTCTCAGAGAGAGAGTAAGAGAGAGAGAGAAGGGGGGAAACGGTGCTCGATTTCATTCAGCATTTGGATGTGCCTTTCATCACGGAAATAACTGAGTTCAATTCCAGGCAGGGCGAAACCTTGGGCAAGTTTCCTTACTCCACACGCCTAATAATAATCCCTCCAAAAAACCAAAACAATAATTAAATTGGTCATTTTCAATCTACGACTGTTTGTGGGACATTGCTGTGCGCAATTGGCTGCCGCGTTCGCCCACAAATATACAGTCAATTCACTTTACAGTGTGTTCTGTGAAGCGCTTTGGGACGTCCTCCTGACGTGAAAAGCGCTATATCAAATGCAAGGATTATTATTATTATTATATATAACTGGCCTCGCACTGAACAGCAACAGCATGTGACCCCAATGGCCCTGAACCCATCTCGTTTCAGGTCAAAGTTACAAGTCCCGGTGCACTGGAACTCGTTCCTAACCCGTGCGATGTCAGGGCATCTCACCTCCGACCACCGCGTTGGGTTAACCGGATCCTCTCACCCCCCGATGTGATCTCCACTCGCCTTTTGTCTCACAAGTTAAACCCCCACCGGCGCGACACCGACTTCTTTAAATCCCCACCAGTTGCAAACGCTCCCAGGAATGGGGAACACAAGTGTGGACTGTGTCACAGGGCGTCGGGGAGAACACCAGAGAAGTGCAATACCTGTAACCGAACAGGAGCCGAGCAATGGCTTTCTTGTGCAGCACTACTCTACACTGCGGGAGGAGGAGAGTGGGGGGGGGGAGGAGGAGAGTGGGGGAGGAGGAGGAGAGTGGGGAGGGGGTCACTCCCGGGTGGTCGGTGGCTTTATACGCTAAAGACCTCTCTCATCGGATTTGACGCGCGCAGAGGGGTGTGATGTGATGGGATGGGATGCCGTGGCTGATCTTACCGTTCCTCATCCTTAAAGACAAATTTTCTCAGTTTGAGGTCTCGCAGTACCACACCACTGTCGTGGCAGTGAGCGACGGCGGACGTTATCTGATAGAACAGTCGGGCCGCCTCGTCCTCTTTGAGCCTCTTGCAAGTGCGAACGAAGGAATGCATATCCCCATGGCTCCTTTCAAAGAAACGTACGCCCTCTGCTCCCCCAGGAGGATTTCGGTGATCTGGTTGATGTTGTCTTGTGCAGACAAACAGAAATAGGCTCCCAACGTTTCTTGATACCGACCGATTTCGAATACCTGCAAACACACACAAAAAAAAAAATATATATATATAATTTGGATTTGGCACCGGATCCAACACAGTCAATAAAGTTAACCGATACACAAATCATTCTGCGTTTCAAATACATATGCAGAAAAGCTGCAGCACACGGTAAGGGCCGTGAATGCAATGCGATCCCCTTAACTAACTGCCCGATTAAAAGTTTCACCGAGTGCGCATTTCGGAAAATATATATATCACCATCGGATTAAACAGCTCGAATATCTCAACGCGATTTATTGTCGGTTACGGACGGTTTATGCTCTGAAGTTATACCCCTGGACACCGGGACTCTCGTCTTTAAGGTCTAACGCGTTAACTCACTCGGTCGCTAACATTTCATCCTTTTTTTTTTGCCGCACAAAAAAAAAACACATTCAAGTTTGGAGGGGAGGAGGAGGAGAGGAGAGGAGGAGGAGGAGGAGGAGGGGATCGAAGTCAAATGCATTTGTTTTTAATTCATTACCTTACAAGTGAGCTCCTCGCCGCTGTGCAAATGCACAGCCCTGAGAACGTGGTCACCCTCTAAAGGCTCCAACAAGAGGTACTTTCCGATTTGGGACACACAGTGTGACGAGTTGGGGGTTTCGGGTGGACTGGGAGAGCCGAGGTTCGGGCTGAAGCTCTGACTGCAGTCACTAGTCCTCACGCAAGACAATTCTTCATATTCATGGTGAGCCTTATGCCTCGATCGCCCATACCTCACTATACTGATAGGACTGGATCTCTGTATGTTCATGGGGCTGTAAACGGTAGTCCTCTTTTTTTTCGTGGGGTGGGGTGAGGGGGGGGGGGGGGGGGTGGGGAGAAGGGGGGGGGAAAAAAAAAAGCTTTGCACGTTGTATTCACCAGAAGATTTGCACGCGATCCACTCGTGCAAAAAAAAACATAAGAAGAAATAATTCACTCCAGAAGCCGATCCCGGCGGGTCAACTCGCAGCCGTCTTTTCTTCTCCCTTTTTGGTGTGTGTGTGTGTGTGTTGTTGCTTTTTTTTCGCGTGTGTGGTGGTGGGGGGGGGGGGCGGCAGGAAAAAAAATACACTCGCCAAGATCCAGTGGGTGGGTGGGTGGGTGGGTGGTGCTCGGCTTTCCTCGCTCGCTCCCTCCACGCCAAGTATTTTTCGTCGGCGGATGAAAAAAAAGGCTTTTTTTTTGTTGTTTTTTTTAAAAAAAACTTTCTCCTTTTATTTCGAGATAAGCGCCCACATCTGAGCAGAGCGGCAGCAGCGAGAGAGAGAGAGAGAGAGAGAGGGGCAGTCAAGTCAGGAAGGCAGCACAGCAGCAGTTAGTTGCAGGGGGTCGGTGGGTCGGTCGGTGGTCTCTCTCTCTCTCCCTCTTGAGGTTTCCACCGCCTTTAATGGCTACAGTTCCTTTATTGTTTGCATAGAAGAGAGAGCGTTCGTTCGGACGCGGTAACAAAGGGCCGAATGGAGCGGCGGCGGCGCTCTGGAAGCGGAACGTGGAACGCCACAGCGCACAATCGCTATTGTTCTCCTCGTGACGTGAGGGCATTCGCTGCACAGAGAGCCGACCCGACCCGACACTCACCGACTGGACCTGACAGCGAGTGTGTGTGAGAGAGAGAGAGAGACACTCACACTCACTCACTCACACACACACGAGACAGACACCACAGACAGACACACGGTCAGGTGGCGACGGATGGAGGAGAAGGAGGAGGAGGAGGAGGAGGTGAGGGGGGAAAGATTTGCAAAAAAAAATTCACTCAAAAGAAAACTTCTTCGCCTGTGTCGACTGTAGATGGCGTCCAATCCCCTCTTTTCTTGCTTTCTTTCTTTCTTTCTCTCTCTCTCTGTGTGTGTGTGTGTGTCTGGTTCGCTCCCACGCGCACACTTTTTCCCCCTCTCTCTCTCTCTCTCTCTCGCTCTCTCTCTCTTCTCCCCCTTTTTTTTGCAGCTCGAAACGAATCGCCTCTCAAAGTATCATGAAACGAGAAGAGAGGAGAAGGGAGCGGTGGGTCCTCGGGTCATCTGCTTTTTGCGACGTCCCACCTCTCTGAAAAGTCCAGAGCCGCACAGACGCGAAACAAACACAATGGTGCACACGCTTTAAATAAGCAGTGTCGGTGTGGAGGGGGTGAGAGCGAGAGAGGGAAAAAAAAAAGAGTTCTTTGGCCACGAATTCTTTCGGGTAGAACCAGCCGATATATATATATATATACACACACACACAGAGTAACAGTCAAGGACGAATGAGATCAATCGTATCGTGTTCCCACCGCTCACACAAGTCTCTGTCCTCCCAAGTCCAGGCCACAAGACACAGCGATGGTCCAAGAAACTCCCCGACAGCTTCGCGCACAGCAGTTGAGTTGACGATCCTGAATGCACGATGATGGATGAATTTTTTTTTTTGTCCGGCGGCCCTCCTCCCCCACCCCCCCCCTTTTTGTTGTTGTTGTTGTTTGTTGTTGCAAAAAAAAAAAATCAAAATAACCCGGAAAAAAAAAGTGTGAGGAGGAGGAGGAGTGGGAGGAGGGGGAGGGGGTGGTGGAGAAATTGCACCTTGAATTAAAAGTTGCTGTACTGTAAGGGATGGCCGATATTTCCAGGCCGATCCCCCCTGTTTAGCAACAGCCGATACAAGGCATCCTCGTTACTTACGTGGCTGCGATGTGAACAGTGTCAGCAGCCGCTCTCTCTCTCTCTCTCACACTCACTCACTCACTTACATTCAATGCAATCGCTGACTGCGGTCCCTCTGCACCTCACACTAACCTGATAAGCCGTCGGCCCGCCCCCCCCCCCCTCCTGTGCCCGCGGGTCCTGTCAATCACCCCGCCCGGGCCCCGCCATTGGTGCGCGCGGCGCGGTCCCCCCTCTTGTCTGACGTCACTTCTGACGATCACACTTGGTTGATCTTTTCTCTCCTTCGCCGACTTCGGTAAAAGTAGGTGATATCCCTCCGCCGCCCACTGTGCTGTGCGGCTCTCAATCCACACTCCCCCCCTCACACCCCCCCTCACACCACCCCCCACACACACCCCCACACAGCTTCCCCCCCCACCCCCCCCCTCACACCCCCCCCTCACACCCCCCCTCACACACACCCCTCCACCCCCCCTACACAGCTCCTCCCTCACCCCCCCCTCACAGCTCCCCCCTCACACACACCCCTCACCCCCCCCACACACACCCCTCACACACCCCCTCACACCCCCTCTTACACAGCTCCTCCCTCACCCCCCCCTCACAGCTCCCCCTCACACACACCCCCACACCCCCCCCTCACACCCCCTCTCACACAGCTCCTCCCCCACCCACCCCCTCACACCCCCCCCCCTCACAGCTCCTCCCTCACACCCCCTCACACACACCCCTCACCCCCCCACACACACCCCTCACACCCCCTCTCACACAGCTCCTCCCCCCACACCCCCCACCCAAAGCTCCTCACCCCCCCACACAGCTCCTCCCCCCCCCCACCCCCCTCCCTTTCTGCAATCAAAAAACATTTTGCACTCAAAACGTGATCTCTGCAAGAAGATACCCCCCTGTGGGTATCCGCACATAATTGCACGTATACTAAACAGAGCTCTTGGTGATTGCATCGCCTGAGCGGCGGCGGCGGAGGAGGAGGAGGTGGTGGTGGGGGAGAGAGAGAGAGAGAGAGAGGAGGGAAATGCGCCCGCACTCGTTTTCTGTGACTTTGGCATTGAATGAAGTGGCGGCGGATGCGGAGGGTTTCCGGGGGGGTGGGGGGCGGAGGCGGTGAGTGGGTTCTTTGCAACCTGATCGTTGGCGGCAGCTGCCGCTGCGTCTCTTTATTCATAGATATAGTCACAGAGGAGGTGAATGCAGAGAGAGGGAGAGCGGGAGCTGGACTTGCCTGACCCACTGACAAATGTAGGCAGCAGCAACGTTTGGTGTGTGTGCTTCCTCTCCCAACCCCTCCACCAACAACCCCTCCCTCCCTCCCTCCCTCTCTCTCTCTCCCCCCCCACCCCAGGAATCATGCACATAATCATAATCATAATAATCCTTGCATTTGATATATATAGCGCCTCGTCGGGTCCTCGAGACGTCTTCAAAGCCCTTTGCAGGATATGCTGCAAAGTCAACTGACCGCACGTTTTGTGGGCGAAACGCGGCAGCCAACTGCGCCCAGCGGTGCCCCACGAGCAGTGCGTGACGTGTAACTGGTTTCTTGGGATATCTCAAAGGAAGCCACACGTCTCTCCTCCCTTTGAATATCCTCCTCCTTGCAAGTTTTGCAAAACCAATAGCCAATTTGCAAGTCTGTAACTGAGATTGGGACAGCGCTTCAGGTGGTTCTCTCGGGTATCTTAGTAGTAATAATATAATAATAATCCTTGCACTTAATATAGCAACTTATCATGTCATCAAGATTCACAGAATATACTGTATACTGAAGTGATACTGTATACTGTATTTAGAGTGAATATTCTGAATGACTGCATATTTTGTTGGGCGAAGCACAAAATAATATATTTAGGTCTTTGGTATTATCTGAGAGCTATGTAGCCCTTTAAGATCAGTTGCTATGTACAGTATAATGAGCAGGTTATTCATATCTGTAATTTTACACCAGTGACCTCTGACATCCACCTATTCTCTTTTTGAACGGGTGACATCACGTACCATTTTCCCCCTTCATTACTAGTAACCTCTTCACCTTGTTCCACCAGCTGTTATTCACAAATGGAGAAGGGGGAAGAAGAATACCACCCAATATAATTATACAGAATAACAGATGGTCAGAGGATTAGTCACAGAATCCCCCCTTCCTCCTTCTCCAGGCTTGCCCCCACCCCCAATACTTTCACCATTTGTTTTGGGCTTGTATGTGGACCTTTGGCTCAACCACGTATATGCATACTAGGCTCAAACAGCTATATGGTACTTGTCTATAATCTACTTTTAACCGTCTGTTCCACTTTATTTAAATGTCATCATGGTTCATGCTTCAGCTTAGGTGGACATTTTCAATTTGCTTTTGAATGGACATGCTAGGTTAGTCAGGAGCACCATAAAACAAGAGGCTTCGACCACCTAACAATCAAATGCTGATTTAGCAGGGGATAATCATGCTTGTCCACCCTTGCTGTCTTTGATAAGGTGGAATGTGGCACTCCGTTTAATGTAAATTATTTACATTTTCATACAGTTTTTGACAGAATATTAAATAAAAGATTAAAAGGGCTTGATGTTTTTTTAAAAAAGGCTGAAAATAGCCGTTGTATGATATGCTCGGCAGAGAGAAATTTATTTAGTGTATTACACAAGAGTCTGTACTTGGAACATTATTGTTTCGGGTCTACGTTGAATGACCTTGATTTTAAAACAAATTCATAATTTGGTTGGATTTGCTAATGACAGAAATGGGGCAGCAGAAGGGTCACATGAGTCAAGCAGGTGATTTGCAAAGCGATTTGAAAAGTTTATGCAATTGGGTGGTTAAGTGGCAAATTAAGTTAACACCACTAAATACAATGTTTCACACATAGGGGGCAAATTGTGTGACATAGTATTCAATGGATGGAAGCAAATTAGAATAGGGGGACTTACCTGGGAGAAAATAAAGGCACATTTTCAGGGCTGTGAAGTGATCTGGAAGTAGATACCATATATCACTTTCAATGTTCATAAGAGATCACAAGACAGGTACAGAACTTATTTCATCTCATTATTCCGGAATACCATTCCTACTATCTTCCCAATTACAGCATTAATTTGTTTCTTAAATGAGGCCAATGCTCTACCTCAACCCCTCTGTTTCAGCTGTTGGTCAGTATCTT